TTTGTTTGTATTTGATTTTATTTTTAAAAATAACCTATTTTGATCTTAAAAAGCTTATGAGTATTACAAAGTTATTGATATATAAAGATAAAATATTGGTGGTGAACAAAGTTTTTATTAGTATATTTTTATTAAAAAAATATAAAATAAAAAAATTATAAATATAATTTTTTTGTAAAACAAGAATGTCTTATCGAAGATATGTTAGATTTACCAGCGTACCAAATCTCAGAAATACTAAACATGTGTTAAAGTTTTTTTATGGTTAGTCATAATAACTTCTTTTAACTGGATAAAATAAATGAAATATAGCTTATAATACAACTATAAATATCATGAAAATAAAATTATATTTCAATTTATTTTTTTCATAAAATAACAAAACCAATGAACTATAAATACATCATAAAATCATTAAAACAAATATTCATAATTTTCATATTATATATATATATATATATCTAAAATATTATTGTATTTTTTTTAAATAATATTTATTTAAATATTAGAAAGTCTCCACTCTCATTAAAATAGATTTTTTATAGTACTAGTTACAAGTTATCTTAACCTACCAACCAATTATTAAGTATAAATCATTAACTATTTTTATTAAAAAAAATAAAATAATAAAACCAATTAAATAATCAAATATCTAACTTGAGTGCTTTACCTACTTGAATTTTTTAAAACATCATCAATATACATATTATATTATTAATATATTAAAAAAACGATAATTTCATCATAATAATACAAAAATGATTATTACTAATGTTATTTAAGCTCTGACGTGAGACACCTAGGCTAAAAAAATCATAGATCAGCTTGATATGTAAAAGCCAAGAAAACAGATTATTATTGTTGTTCTAACATAACTCTTAACCTCGGTCTTCGATTTGTGCAAATTGAACCGATCCGGGAAGATGATTTAGAGACCCGTTATATGGCAACGGCTACAAAGGGTTCAGAGTTCCTTAGCTCAAAATTAATTATTAGACAGTATTTAGAATTACGGTAATTATTATAATTTAAAATATTTTTGTTTAAAAATATATTAAAAAAAAATTATTTTTGATACTAATATATTAAAATGATTCAAAATTATAAAAAAAATCAAAAAATCAAAAATATTTTTGAGCAAAAAAAAAACATATTCTTAAAGTCTTTTGTGATTTGAATTTATAAAATTTTTAAATTTTCTGATTTCTGTAATAATTCCAAATTCGATGTCATTTTTATTTTTTCAATTACTGGCAGAGAATTAACGAAGAGAAGGAGCGTAGAGAAGAAGAGTCAGAGAGGTCAACAAGATCCACGCCTTTGTTGGAAAGCCAAAAACAGGACAAAAGACACAAGTGTCAAACTCAGAGATCAAACGTGAGCCATGACGACAATCTTCGTTTTAAAATATTCATGGAATTCAAACAATTAGTAGTATATTATAAAATCATATTACTAAAAAAATAATATTGATTGTAGTACTAATTAATTCTATTGATAATAATTATTACATTTACGTTAAAAAACCTATCTAGCATACATTCTGACAATCTTTGACGCTTCTTATTTTCAGAAATAGTGCACCACTATACTTGTTTTATACTTAAACAACTTTATTCTTAATATTATCTGCAAAAACATATACCATATATGCACTTATATTTGGAGCTTAATTTTCTATATTACTGATATACATTGAAACTTCTCAACAAGTTAAATATTTAAAATATATGAAATTAAACATTATAGATTAACAAGATATGCATAGCTACATGTTATTCAAAATTTTAATTGTACCATACTAATAAACAAAAACGTTTAATAATGTGATGATGATATTCCAAAATTAAATATGCTTAGGAATAAAATTATTTGATATTTGGATGCTGGCTAATTAAATATTCATGTTAATATTTTTTTCTCTTTAGTTCAAAAAGCTAAGTGCAAAATTGATTGTACATATCCTGATACCTACAAACAATCTATATTGATGGGTTTCAAAGATCATTATATGAAAAAATTAATGACTTTAAATGATAATGATAATAAATGAAAGAAAAAACTTTAAATTACAAGAATAAAAGTATTTATTTATGTTTTTGTATTATTAATGCTCTAATGATTAAAATATATAAGTTTAAACGGTAGAACAAAGTGAACTTTTTAACAAAATGATTCATGATATATTTATATTCATTGAACCTTGTTGTTTGGGTAAAGTGGAAGGACTAGAGAATTATTTTTTCTTAATGATATTAATAAAAAATAAATATCTCATACAATCATTAATGAGATAAAAACATGACAAACTATTGAGAAACCTTTCATGCACCTATAGATGTAGGAAGATGATTATTTCCAATATGAATATATCACGTCAATAATCTTCATATATAACTTTATGGTTTTCATGTGAATCTTTAAGACCAATTGGGTTGGGTGTATAGCCAAACTTAAGGACGATAGGCCTGATAAATTGTCAGAACCACAATGTCTTAAGTTCACCTCATGGCTGAATCCAATTATACTGGGTCTACAACTAAACCTGAGTATATTGAATTTAACAACTTGCTAAACTTACGATGCCTTGAGCTTGACTCATAATTAAAGCCAAGTATATTGAATGTGATAACTTGCTAAATCCATTGTGCCTTGGTCAGCTCATGGCTAACCTAGGCATACTGGATCTGGCAACTTCTTAGATCCACAATGCCTTTGGCTCGGCTTATGGCTAAATCCAGATATACTAAGTTTAGTAACTTACATAACCTATGGTTCATCAAGCATACTGGATCTGCCAACTTCTTAGATCCATAATGCCTTTAGCTCGGCTTATGGCTAAATCTAGATATACTAGGTTTAGTAACTTACATAACCTATGGTTCATTGGGTTCAGTTCATGTTAGAACCCAGGTATGTTGGGTTCAATAAATTATCAAACTCATGGTTTCTTAAGTTCAGCTGATATTTGGATTAGACAATTTACTAGTCTCATGTGGCCAAATACAAATATACTAGGTCTCTATGGTTCTTTGGGCTCAACTTACAATTGAACCCGAATATATTAAGCATAATATTTTGTCAGACTCACGTTTAATTAGATTATTTTTTTTTTACAGTTTGAGTTCTTTCTAAGCACAAAAATATTTGAGTAAAAAATATTAACTTATTATGTATGTTTAAATTAAAAAAAAAAAGAATACTTACTTATTAAAGTAAAGTAACAAATTTTTTATCATTGTTAGGGATAAATTATTTATTCTTAAAGTTTTATTACTCCTCACTTATATAATCAGGATGCTTGAAATATATTTTTTAGGATTCTAACAACACCACTTTAATTTAGGATGCACTTCTAAACAAAAATTTTAAATCTAAGTAACATAACTTAATTATTTATCAATAAAATGAATCTAAACTCTAGAATTAAGAGGATATATGAAAAATATAAAAAAGAACGAAAATAATAAAATAAAACGGGGAAGAATTGTAAAAATATAAAAAAACTTGTAAAATCTCTTATTTTAGCTCTTTTCTATATTGAATTTGTGAAGATAAAAGGTTAAAAAATCAATTTTAGTAATAATCATAATTAATTTATATCATTATCAACTTTGATTAGCTACTATAAATCAAGAATTACATCTAAATATAGGGGCTATAAATATGATTTGTTGAGCTAAAAAGTGTTAAGAATTGTAAAAAATAATTTTGGAAGAGATAGTTAACATTTGACATAACAATAAACTAAAAAAATATTTTTTTTATGAATCAAGCCCAAATTTCAATCAATAAAAAAATTATATTTTATAATTTAAAATTTTAATTTACAATAAATTTAAATTTAAACTTGTACTTAGAACATGAGCACGACACATGTGGGATTAAACCCATAACTTACTTTACTTGAAACTTTTTTCTCTAAAAATTCAAGTGTTTTTTCAATTTAATTTTAACTTTTTAACTTTTCACTTTATAAACATAATTTTCTTTTATTTCTTTACTATGTAGGGTAGAGTTCTTTTGGAGAGTTTTTAGATTTCATCAAAGCCTATCTACTAATATTTCTTTAAGATTAATTTTTCATTCATCCATAATTTATGTAGATCGTATTAATATTTCATATTAAAAAACTTATGATGGGTTGGAAATTAAATTACAACAAAGTTTTAACTCAAAAAGTAAATAGATCTTTTTTTTTATTTGGTCTCAAAAATATACATTAACCATGTTCTAACAAATTTTCCAATACTACATGTTAATGAAGTCAAAAAATAAATAAAAAGCAAAACTAACTTAAAAATTATCCTTCAAAGATATTTACTTGATAAACTTCGTGTAAAAAAAATTAAATTTGTAAAAACAAAGCAAAGAGAAGCTGGAGCAATATTGCTAATGATTGTTACTTGCCTAGCCAGGCCTGGATGCTTAACCTGTGACTATAGGTGGACCTACGGCTTGTGCTATGGGTGCCTTGGCACCCCAACACAAGCTGAATTGAAAAATAAAATAAAATGAAAGCACGTAGGAAAGTAAAATTACATAATTTGAAGTACCCATTTCAGAATTTTCTTAGTGAAAGAGTGGCTTAGGTTTTAGTGTTCTTGTATTTTAAGAGGTAGACGATGAATAGTGAAAAAGAAAGAGAAGGAAGTCTTTCTTATTTTATTTTTTTGTTTGTGTTTTCAGAAGGTACGAATGGATGCTGAGAAGTGGGCGGGAAAACAATACATCGAGGTGCGCGTTTGACAGTTGAGGTGAATCGGGAATGGGTGAAAGAGCGGCCAGTGGGTGAGCAAAGACCACTTCCATTGCCACGACGCGGAAACAAAAGAATTAACTGTAGCCAAATGTAACCACCCCATATTTCGCTTTGAGCACAATGCCCCCATAACCTGTCCCAGTGCATCTTCATGATCAAAACAGAAGATTTATTTGAACAGAGAATGTGTTTTTTTGGGACCCATACTACTATATGCCATGTCATCACAAAACAGAACATTTGTCAAATATCCAATACTACAATTGATTGTTAGATTTTAAATGGTTTAAGCATTTATTTGAAGATAAAAATAAAAATAATCAACGTTCAAACACTCAATTGTAACAATCACTGAATTTCAGGCACTAAGATGCCTAGCATCTCTCCTCTTCTACGTCGTACCAAACCACATCTTACATGAAATCACTGATTAATTATACAGCCAGGTATGAGGTTACAGGTCCTATCCAGCATCATGCAAACAAAACTTGGTCACGCCAGGGGGCACTGCCGGAAGGGGTCAAATTTCAACGCGCATGTCCCAGACTGTCAAGCAAAGCAAAGCACTCAACAAGACATCGGGCGGAGAAAGGATGATCAAGGAACCCGGTGGGCGTGGATGAAATTAAACTGATTGTCGTGTCGTCATGGAAATTTAAGTATCGAGCTCAGAGAGATAGTGAAGGAGGCTATGCACAGTATTTGAAAAGCCAATTTTCAGTGACAGGGGCAATGAATCCCAAATCAACAGCAGAGGTAAACCAAGACAATAACCGGACTGCTAATACTTGTGAATATTGAATGCATCACATGTATAAATGTCCAAGCAGCAAAACTAACCATTACTTGCATTCCAAGTAGCATAAAACAGCAGCACGGGGCACTGCCGGACGGGGTCAAATTTCAACGCGCATGTCCTGGACTGTCAAGCAAAGCAAAGCAAAGCACTCAACAAGACAACGGGCGGAGAAAGGATGATCAAGGAACCTGGAGGGCGTGGATGAAATTAAACTGATTGTCGTGTCGTCATGGAAATTTAAGTATCGAGCTCAGAGAGATAGTGAAGGAGGCTATGCACAGTATTTGAAAAGCCAATTTTCAGTGACAGGGGCAACGAATCCCAAATCAACAACAGAGGTAAACCAAGACAATAACCGGACTGCTAATACTTGTGAATATTGAATGCATCACATGTATAAATGTCCAAGCAGCAAAACTAACCATTACTTGCATTCCAAGTAGCATAAAACAGCAGCATAAATTGCAATCAATTATCAAGAACGTGGAGCTGCCAGCTGCTGCTTCTTTATCCTCTCATGATGTTTTACACCACTGTATAAACAAGAACCAACAAGTTACATGAGAGTGAGTACTTCCTAAGGCTCAAATTCATCTTAGACATCTTAAAATTCTGCTTAGCTCTGTGCCAATCCAACATCTTCACAAAAAAGAAAAATGATAAGCATAGAAGCATCTCACACAACATCTATGACTATTGAAAGCAACAAAAAGTGATTGCTTCTGATGCGGACACTTTGACCATTGATTGGGCTACAATTTCAGACAGGTGAAAGTGTCGCAGACACCAAAATCCAAATCCTAAGAAACCTATTTAACATCCACTCAAATGGTTAAGAACACAAAACATCTACCCAGTATCTATATATGCACACAAACCAGTATCAGATTTTATTTTTATTTTTCTGAAAAAGAAGGACTTGAGATTACAAACCTAGCAGCATACAATATTCAGTCAAATTAGCAAAGCACGAGTAATAAACCTGATATCATGAGGAGTGATAAATATCCACTGGGAACCTTGGGCCAATGCAAACTTCACCAAGGTATCTAGGCTAATCTTCCTACTAACAGCATCCTGGAGATCAATGCAGAATAAGAATATGCATCAGAAACTGACTCTCTTACACTTCAGAGTGGAACTTAGGAGCTGCATCCTCCAGATAATAAGCTATGATTAAGTGAACAATTTTACATGCAAATAAAATGGAATATAAATATCATGGAAATTTACCATAAAGACATCAAACTCGTCCATTGCTCGGAATGAGGCTTCTGTCATCTGATGAAGAGCTAATGCAAAGCATAACGTTGAGAAAGATCGTTCACCACCTAATTAAAAGCAAATTACAAAAATCATTTAGTGAGCAACTCCTAGAGGAAATCTTGAGTTGCAAACAGAATCCGGTTAAAAATTCTAAAGAAAGTATAACACATCCATAAATAATGGAAATGACAGAATTAAATATTTGATAAAAACCCAGTGCAATTTTTCTTGCAAACCCTTGATGAAAACCAGTATCTGTAACTAAACAAACCTTGCATCGCATATTATGACATGATTAGTATACAAACACAGACAAGAGAGTTCACAAGTACAGGAGAGAACCTGAAAGCCCTCTAGTGTCACGAACAGAGCTGCAGGATGCATCTTGGGGCATTTTTACCTGACAGTGTAAATATAGCAAGTTAAAAAGAAAAGACCAGCATAAGCAGCACCAAGGTGTAAAAAAAGAAAAAGAAATGGCGTGGGCATAGAACTAAACGATGCAGATTACACAAGGATTCCAAGACAAGTTATGTACCTCTACTTTGAGGGTCTTCTCTTCGTAACTAATTTTAATGCTCCCACTAATCCCTTTCTCTCCTAAGTGACCATTGAAACTAATGGACAAAGGAAAAAGGAAAAGTCACCAGGAAGTCCAAATAAATAATAGATCATTTGAAATGGCAGAAAGATAATTGACCAGTCTGACAAAAAAAAGTAACAAATAAAACAATTCATACTTCCAAGTCAATTGGCGCTTCAAATCACTTGCATTCCTTTGAAATTTGCTCCATCGCAAATTCAGGGCTTCCTCACAAGTCTGGGATTCAAAAGATTAAAAAGAAGAGAAAAAATGGATATGAAAATAAAATCCTCCATCAGAAACACTGAGCAAACAATGCAGAAAATGGGGAGACTACTCTGAAAGGTGGTGGAAAGCAATGATAAGAAAAACAAGAAAGATGAACAAAAACAAGAAAAAAAACAAAAGAAAAAAAAAACATAATAGTTACAAAATTTCATGAGGATACCTACACGATTTAAAAAATAATAGTTACAAAACTAAGAAATTATCATGAGGATACCTAACTCTCTAAGTCAAATGAATAAAAAGAGAAGAAAAACAAAAGAAAGAGACTAAATGGGGTGTCAAACTATTTGTTTCATGTGAAAGAACTAAAACCGAAACTAATCTTTGTTTTGAATAGCTTTATGGGCTCACAAGAAGGTTTTCCATTTTTGTAACCTGTCCCAATACAGGGATTGGGTCTTCCATTTTCCAACTCCAAAAACCATTACTACTTGTTTATTTCTTGGAGACTATTCCCTTCTCTTCTCCCATTTTTTTCCTCTCATTCAGATCCTTTTCCTTTCTTCTATCTTCTTGACCCTCTTTTACTTTCACCTTGAACATAAAAGAAACCAATTATAGCATCCACTCTTTCAAATACAGCATTGCACATCACCACCTCACCTTTAAGGCAAGTGTGAAACCCAGCTGTAGGAGTGGAAATGATCACAAACAACAACCAAACGAAAACAAGGATGAAAATTCAAGAGAATTGACTATCCAAAAAATCCAATTTATGGAATCAATCAACATTCATAGCATGTCAGGAACTAGGATTAGACTTCACGTGCTAAATAAATGAAAAATAGATAAATGTAGAATTTACCTTCAACTTTTCACGAAAAGCTCTGTATGTTTGCCGTTTACGCAAAATTTTACGCTCTTTTTTCTGATAAAACATCCTCAGGTCATCAATAGAGTCAGAATGCCTGTTACAATTAAAAAAAAAAAAAGCTTATTATTTGAAACTGTCATGCTACTAGTGTTCTCCAGGTGGTGCAAGATACAAGTCATGACTATACTGCTGGCACTCATTCTGAAGTCTCTGGTTCAGTTTATTTAAATGCACACTGAGCTGCTCTGGTGTGCTGCCATCATAACCTCCTAAAGCTTCAATCTCACTCTCGGGACATATAATTGAAGCCTTTCTGCAGCTCTCCTACAGTTTCACAAAACATAAAATTAGCTACAAGGTGGCGCTACAACAAACTCAATGCTTAAATGCTTGAACAGTCTCTGCTACAAAAAGGACAAGAGAAGCACAACCAACATGTATACACAGGACAGCAACCACAAGCCATTTTCACCAGCATTTTCTAGTATTTAACCACCTCAAATATCTACAACCATCACATTTATACTTATTGAGATAAAAAAAATAAAAATAAAATCAGGTGTAGAGAACCACTGGGAATGCTTCTGTAACTGCATATACAACAGCAAAACCAGGTCAGTTCCCTCTCCCCACCAACACCGAACCCCACCACGCATCCCAAAATGCACAACCCAGCTCCACCTTCTTGGTTACCATGTCAGTAAGCTAATCAACAAAAGATATCATAAATTGCAAAACCCAGCTTCACGACCTCAACACCACCAAAACATCACCTGCTGCCCCCCATGCCACAAAAACCTAGACCACCCACCTTCACAATACCTAGTTTATTTTCTTGAAAACAAAGTTATGGTTGCAATTTCATTGACAAGGAAAGAATGTTCACATAGAAGAGAAGTTACTGGACAGAATAGAGTGAGATAAGAGTGGATATCAGCTGTATTTGGAAACACTGTCCAGGAGAGTTTATGAGGGTGGTTTTCAGGGGGGGAAGAAACCCATCACCATTTTAGTTCCATCCTTTTGATAAACACCCCCACCCCCAGGGGCTGATCATAAGTGTATTGTAAACCCATTCCCATTATTCTGTCTCAATTCACGTTCCTATCAATTTTTAATCAAACAGGGTCGTGTCCTGGTTGCCCCAGATTTGCAAACAGAACCTGAAGCTTTGTAACGGTGGTTTGGTGGCTCATTTTGTAAAACAAATATTTTAGTTCATCTTTTCCTTTCTTTTTCCATCTTTTCAGAGATTATCTTGGGATTCTTAGATGATAGATTGCAGCCATTAATACAAAAGGACAAATTTTCAAATTATATGACTTTAGTTGCAAGATAACTGTGGAGGCTTCGCCACCTGGAACCCTGCGACTTTGCTTGTTTGGAGGGAAAAGTAGGAAGGACACATGAGAGGAGAAAGTTAAATTGTTTCAATAGCCAGATACAGACCCGTAAAAGGAAGGGATGGATCCTTCCCATCCTTAATGAGCTGTAATTTGCAAAACACCCAATTTGACTTCCATCCTTTCCTTTCCTACTTAGCAAACTAGTTAGGATGAGTTAATATCCATTCTCTCCCCTCATCCTTCCGTTTTATCCTTTTCATCCACCAACCAAACAGACTACACTTTTAACCAGGTTACAACAACATAAGACACGACAACTTAAGTTAAGCTTTGAAGAAGCAGGAAGGCAGAGGAGACAGGCAACTGTTCATTGTTTGAAAAGGGTATGTATGGCATTACATAATTCACCAAAATGAAATTGACTTTGGAATAGCACAGTTAGGTTGGATTAATCTTAAAAAGGATAGTCATCGACTATTTCAAGGAGCAAATGGGTCCGCAATAAATTGGCTTAGTCCTTGAGCTTATATTTAGCAATTGTTATGCCCTGGTTTAAGCGATGATCTCTTATATATACCATATTTCTGAAAGCTATCGTGTGCCTTGAGCAATCAGACTAAGTGAAGATCTCTTGCATATACCATATTTCTGAAAGAAATGATTTGAAAATACACACCCCCAAAGAAAATTACATGAATAAGCACAAATATAGAGGGGCATGAAATGCACCTTACGATTCTCTTCAAGCTCCCGATATTGTGCCTCCGCCATTTCAATATCAGGGAGAACCCTGGTAGTCATTACTCCTTCATAACGGGCCTTTTCCTGATATAATACTTTGATTTCAGAAAAATCTTGCAGAAAGAACTTAAAAGAACTGCAGTGGACCATAAAACAAAGGCTCAAGGATGAGTGAACGGAACTGCTTCTGCAAATTGCAGATCTTTTTCAATCTTCACCAGCTCACTCTCTGCTTTCTCAATAGCATCGATTTCTTCTTTAACTGACTCTGCATGTAGACACAGTTATTATTGTGGATGAAAAAGCATGACGCATAATTGCATACATTTGATTGCACTTAAAAAGTTTAAACACTATGCCATACCACGCAAATCTTCAAATGTCAATTCAAGATCCCTGGCTTTTGAGTCAGCTTCATTAATTCTGACTTGGAGCGACTCCAGCTGCATTTTCTTTTCTTGTATCTCCTCCCGGATGCTCTGAAAAACATTTGCAATGATACGATGTCATTGAGGAAAAGAAAATCCTTTATATATTGCATGCATGAATCAGCAAATCTAAATCAGATTGATAAAACAAGCCCGGTGATAAAAAGGCAACACTAATGGCATGTAACAAACTGAGATTTCTTGTTGAAGCTCATCAACAGTTGATGCAGCAGCTTGAGAACTGGTTGCCGACGCATACGAGTTCTTTGCATCCTGCAGTCCTAGTTTCTTAGATACCAGATCCCGCTCAGCATTCCTGCACTTCTCCTACATCACCAAATGGAACATTATATGTACATAATCAAAAGGTACCTTCAACTACACCCTCCCCATTGCATCCTAAAAGAGAATTATAAATAGACTAAGTGAAGTAACTGGAATTAAAATTTGTTCAGTGAGTGTATTTTAGCAATCTTAGTACGTGTTTGTTATTGTGGTGTAAGATGCATTTCAAAAGTGATTTTCACTTGAAAATACATTTAAATAATTTTATTTTTTTTGACATGTGCACATCAAAATCAATGAAAAAACTCAAAAAAAAGCATCAATCAATGATGATTTTCTCGATTGAAAAAAAAGAAGAGCTCCTTTATACAGAAACTCTTGTTCGCACAAAAGATGATTGTAATGTGGTTGGTCTTGGTTGAATTAATATAGGCAAATACAAGATGTTTGTATCGCACATTATGTCAACCTGATTCTCCAAATAATATGTGAATACTCACAACCTTATTCTACAAAAAAGATTGGAGCCCGCACAAGGGCCCAACCTTGTCTTCTGAAGACACACACAAGCCCAACAAGAAGCTTGGGGTTGCACAAAGGAGGGCAAGAAGGGGGCAAATGCATTTTTTTCAATTCAACAAAAAATCAACTTTAATATAAGAACATGTGGAACATGACACAAATGTGTCCACTTCACACAGCTTGGCATTAGGTCCAGCTTCTGTTCATCCATTGTTTAGGAAAGCAGATTTGGTGAGAAAACACCAAATGTAAATTGATCCATGATCTTGTATGAGCAAAACTTCAAGCAGAAGAAGACCAAAAAGTAGACTCTAGTTCCCTAGAATTGGAAACCAAGCTTTTCTAGATAATCATTAAAAGTATGTTTTGTTAGTTAATGGAGATGAAAGCAGGAAAGGATGATCGTCCTCATCTCTATCCATAGGATTTATTTTTCCAGTTCTGGAATATAATATAACCAACAGCTTGATGCATGTAATTAGATTCAATGTTTTTTTGGAAATGTTATTTTATTATTTCAAATAATTCAAATATTCAGCTTGACATTTTAAATTAAATGAAAAGGATTGTTGATCAACAATTTTAATACTCAGAAACTGCAAGAGTTACTGGAAATTTGGTTAAATTTCAATTTTTCTCAATTAAAAAAACACATGTTTTATATCTCTTATGTGATATTTTGTCAAGGAAGGCAATAAAGAAAAAAATTGCTCAGCTATGCACACAGAAGTGCAGTCCTTGAGGAGGGAATTCGAGGGCAGTCTTCAGCTTATGTAGGATGAACTATTCTCAAGACTTTGCAACCTTATGGTGACAAGTCCAAGACTGTTACCATTGCACCAAAGAATAACTCCTATATTAAGAGCAGCTTAATTGTTGTACAATGAGGTAGGATGAAATTTATAGGGGTGCTTGCGAACTCCCCCCCCCCCCCCCCCCCCTATGACCCAAAATA